AACAGCGAAGCTAAAAATACTTGTTTCTTACCAGCCCTTAAAATATCAAAAACATTGTCAGCCATCTTTTCACTGTTGCCATGTTGTCAGCCATCTTTTCACTGTTGCCATAGTATCATGACAACAATTGTTGCTAAGGACTCACGTATATTCTTTCAGACATGTACTACAACTGATAAATAACTTTCACAATAAAAGTACCTACTTTGTGCCCTTATGGTACAAAACAAGCAGCCTCTCGGCTGAGATAGCTCCGCTGTTAGCAATGCAAATTTCAATTAAAGAACACAAGATAGCATTAGAAAATGAACAATATGTATAGTAGTCGAAAATATCACTTTTTACCAAAAATGACAAAAATATTCAACAAAACTAGAGAATTGAAGATATCATAACAAAATGAACAAAACTGAAAGAGATCCACATGTAGTACCTATATATGTAATATCAAAGCAAATGGACTTGCGGTTTTTAACAAGAAGTCGAAAATATCACTTTTTACCAAAAATAGTCACCAATATTAGAGAATTAAAGATATCATTACAAAATGAACAAATCTGAGAGAGGTCCACATGTAGTACCTATATATGTAATATCAAAGCAATTGGACTTGCGGTTTTTAACAAGAAGTCGAAAATATTACTTTTTACCAAAAATGACAAAAATAATCACAAAAATTAGAGAATTGAAGATATCATTACAAAATGAACAAATATGAGAGAGGTCTACCCAAGGTACATATGCAGCAAGTATCAAATCATTCAGGCTTATAGTTTTTTTAAGAAGTCAACACGGACGACGGACGACGACGGAAAATCACTCATATGATAAGCTCCGCTCGACAAAGTCGACAGCGGAGCTAAAAAAACAAGATGCCTGCCAGTTGACAATCTTCGATTCAATTGCGAAATAAATCGTCATGGACATGTATCCTAACATGTATAATCTATGTACAAAGTTTGAATGACAACTGACAAAGCATGTCCAAAATACAACATTTTCAAAAAACAAGATGGCTGCCAGTCGGCCATTTTGAATCGAATCGCTAAACCACTACATGTGCATATGTCCCACATTAAGTACTAGGCACAAGCAAAGAATGAACGGAATCGGTCCAAGGGATTCTGAGGTATGACTCCGGACGGACGCACGGACGGACGGAGACCGAGTTATAAGTCCCCGTTTTCGGACTTAGTCCGAACGGGGACTAAAAATCTAATTTCAATAAATTCAAACTAAATTTCATCAAATATTTAAAACAAAATGTCTGTCTAAAACTGGGATCCTTGTTTCCTTGAAAAACGTCTGAGTTTACAACTGCCTTCGATGGGGAGATGAATGAGCGGATACGAAACTTTGCAAGCGATGGTTTATTCTCGCATTTGTTACAATATGAAACATATCAAAGAAACAAAATAGGTAAGGTATAGATGCATTTGCATTTCATATGTAGACAGTGTAGGCTTCACAATCGGTGACCTACTACAAATGAAACATATTACTATAATATAAAAAAAACTTTAAAATGCAAAAATGTTTTTTTTTTAGAATGCACTGCATAATTTGCAAGTTGTACATAAATAATGAAAAGTATATTTTGATTGTAAAAGTCTTGTCAAATTCTTCATTTAATTTATTTTCAATATTTTTTTTTAAAAAAACAGCAATCAATCTGTTTATGCGAGATGTGTGACTACCTCATTATAAGTGCCTGTAAAATCTGCACTAGGTGCACTTTGTAGTTGGTAAGAAAAGTTCAAAGTTTAATAGCTTTCTGTTTCGTTTCGTTTTTGTTACCTTTTAACGTTACTGTTTTTGGTAGCAATGTGTCAATCATATATCTGGTAATATTGTATGATTAAATGATATTTTAAAAAAAACAAGCAATCAAGTAGATAACACAGTATTTGGGTATTTTTAAATCATATTGTTTATTACGTTTTGCTTGTGGTGGAGTTACAACTTTGTGTAGCCAATACTGTCTACATATAAAGAAAGCAAAAACATAGTTTAATGGCTCCGAGCGCTCACGAACCAGCATTTTAAGAAAATGTCACAAATTGAAGTTACGTTCCTATATGGTATTATATGCAGAAAACCTAACTCAAAACAATCACTCAGATCATTTACTTTATTGCAGATCATACAAAATGGAAGAATAACTTTAAGTTCAATCCCGACTATAATATACGATCCTAGTTCATTTTTATAATAGTAAACATAAAAATAAATATATGATATAAAAATGCATTCCGCACATTACCTAATATTTTACCCACATTACATTAAGTCATGATGTGAGAATTCGTTCACTTCCAATCATTCTTGATACTAAGTGGATATAATCGAGATGTATGATAAGAGCATCTGTTGGATTGAAAACCCGTAAATAACAGATGTCAAATCGTGTAGACAGTAATATTTTTCTTTGTTTTTCTAAATAACATGTCGAAGCAGGTGTCACCTTGACATTTTAAGATATGTAGGATTACGCGGCATCAGCTAATCTTGTCCCAAAGACAGACTAATGGGAATATCCATTTGGTTAAAATATCGATCATTCTTCAGGTCTGTCACATATCAATGTAAATACTGATCTTCTCGACAATAATATTGTAATTCTAGAATTGTCCTGGCAATAAAATGGCATTATTTCAGAAAAATGTTCGAAAATTACAAGTAGACACGTGTTAAACATGTCAGTGCTGTACTCTAAGATTGATCGCTCCTATATATGACGTTTGAGGGCGGTATCATTATTTATCAAATTCCGTCAGATCAACCTAACATTTGTAACTGGCAGGTCAACCGAGTTTAAAGTCACGTATAGAAAATATCCCAATATTGGTTACGTATTTTCAAAATGAGTAACAATCACTACGTTCTTGAGTGCTACAAGTTTCAACTTCACCAAGCAAACTATAATATACCTATAGTATGGAATAAACATATTATTATTATAAAAAAATAACTGGCAAATTTAGAATATACCTTTTTTTTCTGAATACAAACAATATACCAGTTCAAGTAAATCGAGAAGCACCCTTGTCTCATCCAGAGAAACGCACACAATACACTTTCAACATCCTTCTCAAATGTTGTGAAGATGGCCGCTATAGGTCATCTCTAATGACATAAATTTTTACATCTCTTATCTTGGTTGCACAGTTATGTAATTCTATAGGAACACCGAGAGGAAGAAACGCCACCACATCCTTCCAAGGATCAAACACACACTGAGGGGGCGCTATCAGGCAACTAATTCCAGACAATACGTTAAAGGAAAATATATCTTCCTTTGCGATTGCAGACAAAAAATACAGATTATTTCCGACTAGGGCAATTTTACATTTGCGTAAGAACTCTGGTAATGAGCGTATTCCTATTTGCGTTGCACTTACTTTTGTCACAGCCTTAAACGAGGCAGTGTCCCGACAAAGTTCATGTAAGGTGAATACGAGGAAATTGGTGATAGGGAGGAGAGTTGGATCATCGCTAGAAGTAAACAGTAAAATTAAATTTTCTCTATTCGAAAACAATCTTACATAATGTCTGTCTACAGCAGTATTCAAGTTCACAACAACAAAATTAACACTCAGTTCTGACGACGCGGTCGGAGTTATCTCCGCAATGAACAGATTGTCATCAGTGTCCGTCAGATGGCGATCCGAACACAGAACATATAACGAGTTTTGAAACAGACAAGCGTTGACAAGACGCACCTCCGTCGGCAGCATGTCGTCCGTGAAGCAGGGACACGGGAAAACATGACGCCGCCAGCGTACTGGGATATCAGAATGTGGTTGATAATTATACACAATCAACCCACGATGTTTTGTTGTGTACGGCGGGATAGCGTACATTATGCTTTCCGATTGTGCAAACAACATATCGCCTTTAGACAACCCAGGCGGTGTCATGTGAGAAATGTCTTTCCATTTCCCAGTGAACGCATCGTACGTAAAAGATTCTGACACTAGTTTCATCAGCCCCCACGCGGAGTTCGTTACAATCTGCATTTCACGCCAGTCATTCGAATCGTAATTGTGATCTCGTCTGTAATGGCCTATCTTCAGCGCTACATACGTATGACGAAACGACGAATGTAGACTGTTGTTGAATTCATTACAACGGGGAGGAAAAACATCCAACAGTATCCAATCTTTGACAGCGTCGTCATAGCAACATAACACCTTTCCCACATTGTGATCGTCACCGACTGCTTCGTGTTTTAATAGAATACACAGTGAGGTTTTAGAGAATTCTCGTATTTCGTCACACTCAGTTTTATGTTCGATATCGCGTATGGCACTTGCTGATAAGTTGGACAGTTGTTCCCCCTTCCTCAAATAGCGATAGTGGGCGGCCAAAAACAAATTTATAAAATCCGTAAAGTTGGCCCAGTTATGTAATTTGGCTTTAGTTAAATACTGCGCCCAGCTTTCCAGAGTGACGAATTTGGAGAATAACTTCGGATTTAAGGAAACCTCCAAAAAATCGGCCGCCATCATCACATCATCTTGCAGTTCTTCGTCTTCGGGGATATCTGTTTCTTTGTCGTAAATGTGGTCGAGAATCACAAGCATTGCCCGAGCCGTAGGTGGCGCTGCGTTGAATCGCATTTCATTGGACGTCTTCATGGCGTCACTGTCTGCCATTCCACTTGCAAGGAGCGCCCTCATATAGCCACTTTTTTTAAGCAGCATGTCGGCGTGGATGAAAAAGTCAAAGTTTTCGATAAAAATGTGTAAATTCGGTGGTTCGCGGGTATCTTCTGTGTGATAGGATATTTGTATTGGTTTTGACCTCGACGGCAACAGTGCGCGGGCGGTTCGAGCGATGCCTCTGGCATGGCGTTGCGCAGATTCGACAACAGTGCTACCACTATTCGTGCCATGACCCGTATCACGTGGGCTTCCCGTGCGTAACTGTGGTCCAACATCTTCCATGGACAAAATTGTGAATTCATCTTCTTCCGTGTTCTGGTTCTAAAATCAAAGAAAACAGTTTGTATAATTGTAGCCTTTACTTGAAAGGTGGTGGTCGTCGCGTCGCGCCCTGTTCGATATGGGGACTCATAGCGACGTACACAACGCATGTAAAATACATTGTTTATTTACATGAAATTCGAACACGCGCTGCGCGACGACCCCCGCCTTTAATCTGGCTAACCAGCCGGATATTGTGACACGTACAACCATGAACACAAGTCTGTACATAACGTAGGCAAATCGCCGGTGGCATGAAGTCAACTGGAATTAAAATAGTTTTCAACAGAGGGTAAATCCATATTTTGTACCGAGACGGCAAAATACAATTAGCCCAAAACACGAAATATGTTTCTAAAGAACTTTGCTTTCAGAAAAAATGATTAATTTGACGGATGCACGTTTTTGTATGTATGCAGAAACTCCAATTTTGTTTTTCTTTTGTTGTAATTGGGATATTTTATATGTTCTTACTAGTGTGACAGTCCCTTTGCTTGTGTCTATCTAACATAAAAATAAAAAGCACAAATGTAGAGACACAAGCAATAGAACAAATAAAAATATAGTCATATCTACATGAAGTTGTAATCAGAATGATTTTTAATATGTTGATACTTTGTACTGGTATGCCAGTAGGACAATGTACTCCAGGGTCAATGCACACTACATAATACAGAGTTGGCCTTATACAGCACATCTTCTCTCAGCTTCGTATATGAACCTAGAAATGTCTTGAATCATTACAGCTGTGTGTGTTTGCCATTGAAATACATGCAAATACAACGATAACAGGGGCGTCGATCATGGGGGGACAGGGGGGACACGCCCCCCCCCCCACTTTCTGAAGGGTGGGGGACACAATATCAACTGTCCCCTCCACTTTCCTGACTTACCCAAATATCAATAATAGGCTTATATCAAAGCCTGCGTTTGTGTAAGGCCTTTGGTTCTGTGTACATGTACTGTATTCTTAATGATCAAGATTGAAAATCCCCAAGTATGCACCAAATGACTTCATTTTGGTTGCATTTTTCAAAAATTTCTACCTTCTGAGGGGGACACATCCCTCATCGGGGTTACACACCTATATTCCGACATCCCTACATTCCGACACCCCTATGTTCCGACATCCCTATATTCCGACACCCCTATGTTCCGACATTCCTATATTCCGACAACCCTATATTCCGACAACCCTATGTTGAGATGCTAATCAGTTCTGACACCTGACACGTTTTTGACATTTCACTGCGTTTTTATCTCTTTACTATAAGAAAAAATATCATTATTCTTCTTCAAATATTATTCTACGCTCACCTTTTGTGACACAATATTACATTTCTTTACATTAAAAAATAAATATGCCGGATTATAATACTTGCCACTCTTCTGGCCATGGGCTTTCATGGAGGTGTTTTTGTGATCATCGTCGTCAATATTCTCAGACGCGATGTATCCTATCAAGTTTCAGGCTCAAAATATTTGTTTTTTTAATTATTGCCAAACGTTCAGATCAACAATAAACTATGTACCTGACAGTCTTCATGTGGGCCCCTGACAACTTGTACTCGGGGAGACCTAAATTACATTGTTTAGTACTTTTATGTTCGACGATCATCCAATAAATTCTGAGCCGGCCAGAATGTGCCATATTTTCAATGGAAATATGTACGCTAGTGGTCAGAAGTCAAAATTGGATAAATACCCCTCCCCATGGTAGAACAAAGCAACATGGTTTTTTTCTGTTCAGCGCGATCAGTCTAGTTACAGAATACTGACTGTACTATTAAAATTAAGACAAGGCTGTCAAATTTACATGCCATAAAATAGACAGAAACATGGGAATTAATTTGGTCAATTTTGGCTGTAGAATCTGAGCCGTTTTGCCCCCGAAAATCAGGGTAAATATGTTAGCTTTAAAAAATTATACACAACGTCAAATGAAAAGCGATTTTTTCGGGATCAACCTTATACAAAGACATTATTATGTAATAGCCTGTCACATATTAAATAGGAATACCTCAGACAAACACCATCATGCTATATATCAAATTAAAGCTATATTGGTGTAGCATACAGGTATTACATTGGATATTAACATCGGATAATCATTACTTATTGCCATTATGAATTTCATTAACTTTATTATACGTTATTCAAAATCATCAAATGACATTTT